TTGAGGCCTCTCGAAGCAAATGTTTCCTTCTGGAGAGGTAAAACCAGGACAGGGGGAGGAAGAGCAGAAACGCAGCTCCTCCAGCAATGGCAGTGCCTCCAGGAATTCCCAGCACATGCCCACAAATCCTCCCGGAGGGGTGAGGCAGACATGAAGGTTCGACGTGAATACCCTGTTTGGCATAACTTAGGTGATGGCTGCATCCCCTCTCCCTTCCCCAGAAGCTGGAGATGCTGCTGTCTGGGAGCAGGAGGTGCCTGTGTGGGGGTTCAGCACCGCTGGCTTGGTGCAAGTCCAAGAACCGTTTGGACGATACTCCCGGGCACGTGGTGTGACTCTGGGGGATGGTCCAGTGAAGGCTCAGGAGTTGGACTCGATGATCCTTGTGGGTCCCTTCCAACTTGGAATACTGGGTGTGATTCTGTGAAGTTCCACAGGGCTTTGTGTGAGCAGAGAGCAGGGGCTGAGCAAAGCAGAGCGGGGCAATGGCAGCACAGCCCTTGAGCACTGCCCCAAGCAGGCTGAGCTCAAGGCGGAGCTCGGGGTGGGGTTGGTCCCACTCAGGTTAAGGGGCAGAGACACAGGGACAGCAGGGAGTGCAGGGCAGGGAAAACATCAGAAGGAACTGATGGGCATGGGGATGTCTCCAGGTTGGGCTCTCCCGGTGCTCAGTGGCCCCATCTCTCCAGGACGAGGGTTATGATGGGGGCTCATATAGAGTGTCAGGAGCTGGAAAGTCATCTGGAGAGTACAAAGGCATGGCCCAGGATAGCGTTATTGTTTTCAGGACTGGAAAATGCCTCAGATCTAGGAGGGGCAGAGTTTCCTCCCAAGGGATTCACATGAGGGGCATAAAGGTTTTCTCCTCTCCCACCTCCAGTCCCACACAGCTCCCTTTACGGAACCTTTCCTTGTACTCCCCATCCCCTGGAGAGCTGCACAAGTGTGTCTCAGATAGGACAGGAGAGTCCAGGGCTGCAGGATGAAGCTCTGGTGGTTGCACTGGGAGGGTCAGATTTGGTGCATGCTGTGCCCTTCCCTGGGGCACAGACACAGTTCAGAGACCAGTTGTAAGTGAATTACTGCAGAAGAGATGAACAAAGTTGGGATGTGAGTCAGGGTGAAGACAGTGTTCAACACAACTGCAACAGAAACGTGAAAGCACCGTCCCTCTCTCCTGCCTGCAATTGAGAACTAACTGGTGGGAGGCAGCAAGAGTTTCAGGCCCACAGATTGGACAGGGAAATTTCAAGAAATCTGCCAATTGAAGGCATCAACATCATCTTCTGGAATGAGGGATGGAGCAAGAGGACAAAACATTGCAGTTCAGGTGCCTGCAGTATTTCAGGTCCCACCTACTCAGCTCAACCCCAAGCTGCAACCATTGCCAAACCCCTCCCTGAAACAGGGACCATCCTCTTTCAACAACAACCAGAACACAGGGGCTTGAGGTTGCTCTTTATTTTCATTTTCTTACTGACTCCAAAATTTCCTGAAGACTGGAGAATAGTAGAATGGTTTCTCTTGGAAGAGACAACTCCCCCAGAGATGACAGATGGTGGATCTAGGATTCCCACGGTGTCTCAGTGTGTGCAGAACCTGGGGGAGCTCCAGGCTCTAAACCTGTGCCTTTCTCCTCCCCGGCAGCAGCTCCCAGGCAGGCACAACCACTGAAGGTCAGTGATTCCCTCCCTCTCACTCAAGGTCCTTCAGCATTGGGCCAAGGCTACCCAGTTGCCACCACGAGGACATTGGGAGGTTCATCAACTGGGATCTATCTTGTTTCTAAGGTCATATCCTCCAGTACATATTGGGGCTCTTGGAGCCCTGTGGATGCAGAGTAGGGTGGGGGCCAAGGGGAACGAGGACATTGCAAGGAGGATTTTGCTCCCAAGGCACAGGCAAACGTGGACCGTGCTGGGGGCTAACAGTGCCTGCAAATGAAAGCGGGGGCTCTGTAAGTGTAGCGACCGCAGTAGGGGCTGAGGCAGGGCTCCCACTCGACCCAACCCCTCCTCGTGGGTAAAGCTCTGCTTAACATAGCCTTTCTGCAGGACCAGTCCCAGCTACTCTACAAGGCACAAGCAGAGTCCTTTCTTCTCTTTGGCTCCCACAGATCTGACTTGATACTCTTAGAGAGGCCAGCAGATGACCCCATGCCAAATGTCTTAAAAGGAAAAAAACACAGCTAGGTATCCTCTCTCTCTCGAAACCACAAAGCACTACACCAACCATTGAACTTCTTCCCTCCACATACCAGCAAAACTCTCAATCGCACACGCGAGACCCACGCTGTGCGCTTCAGCTCAAAAAGAGAAGCGTGCCAAGAAGACTTTCAGTGTCATTCCCCTTCCAACTGCAAGCTTCGAGGCACTGTCATTCGACTAAGAGTGAAATTCCCTTTGCCTCCTTTCGACTGTACAGCCCTCCACAGAGAGGTGTGCGTTCTTCTCGGCTTCAAGGAGGAGGGCGAATGCAGCAAGGTCGCTTTGCCCGGCTCATCTCACTCAGCGGCGGCTGAAGCGGACACTCTCGACTCGAGGGGAAGCGCTTGTCTGTAAGCGGTTCAGAGTCCGTCTAGCTGAGAAGAACGTGCAGAGCCTTTTCATATGTGCCAAGTGAAAAGGCTTCGAATCAGAGACTGCCAATGCTTAGATGTTTGCAATTCAACAGAGTAGACCCCAAAAACTTTGTTGAATTGCAAACTTCTAAGCATTGGCAGTCTGTGCCAAGACAGAGTAGACCCCAAAAACTTTCTGTCTTGGCACACTTCCTCGTGGTGCCTTGTTTTCAGCTGCTTGTGGGTTGAAGCCCTTTTAACCAAACAGAGTCCAGAACGTGTGCATCAGCCCATGCAGGGTGAAAGGAGCCCGACAACAAGACGTTGGTGCGTTCACCCTCCTCCTTGCAGCCGAGAAAAACGAGCAGCGCTCTGTGGATGGGTGTACAGTTGAAAGGATGCAAGGGGAAAAGGACTCCCACTCAAATAGCTGTGTCTTGAACTGTGCAGTTGGAAGAGGTGCGTCACTGAAAGTTTTCTGTCTTGCCACACTTCCCTTTGCGAGGTGTAGTCTAAAAGAGCAGTGTGGATGGTGGTTGTGTGATGGAGAGTTTTGCTGGTACGTTGAGAGAAGAAGTGCGGTGCTTGGTGTGGTGCTTTGTGGTTTTAAGAGAGAAGGGATACCTAGCTGTGGGTTTTCCTTTTAGGACATTTGGCATGGGCTCATCTGCTGACCTCTCTAAGGTTCTCAAGTCAGACCTGTGGGAACCAAAGAGAAGAAAGGACTCTCTCTGCTCGTGCAAGAAGGAAACCGCCAAGCTCTTGTGTTCGGTGCCTAGCAGAACGCCGGCAAAGAGCAGGGCGATTACGGCAGTCTTTTGCCCTGCCTTGCTTTCCTATGTGGCAGCAGCAGAAAGAAATCTCTGGACTCTGCCAACCTGAAAGCGCTTCAGAGTAAATTTAGCCTAGAAGAACATGCCGTGTGTCTTCAGATGTGTTCAGTGGAAAGGGTTTCGGAGCAGAAAGGGACTGCCAATGCTTAGAAATTTGCAATTAGAGAGGATAGGTCCTGACAAGCATTCTCTCTTGAGACACTTCTCCAGTGGTGCCTTGTACTCAACTGCTTGTACCCTGAAGCGCTTGCATGCTTGCAGAGTCCAGAGAGTTCGCTCTGCCGCTGCCGTACAAAAACGCGAGACATGGTCCCTTCACCCTGCTCCTCGTGACCCTTCAGCTACACACCTGCACACGAGAGCAAGGCGATTTCCTTCTCAAATAGAGAGCTTCCTTTCTTGTCTTTAGCTCCCAGAGATCTGACTTGATACCCTTAGAGAGGCTGGCAGATGAGCCCATGCCAAATATCCTAAAAAGAAAACTCACACCTACTTATCCTCTCTTAAAACCACAAAGCACCACACCAAGCACTGCACATCTTCCCTGCACGTACCAACAAAACTCTCCACCACTCAACCGGGATCCACACTCTGCTTCTTTAGACTACAGCTCGAAAAAGGAAATGTGTCAAGACAGAAAACTTTCAGTGACGCACCCCTTCCAACTGCACAATTCAAGGCACACCTTTTTGAGTGGGAGTCCTTTTCCCCTTGCATCCTTTCAACTGTAAACCCTTTCACAGAAAGCTGCGGGTTCTCCTCGGCTGCAAGAAGGAAGGGAAAGGTAACAACGTCTCTTTGTCTGGCTCCTGTCAACTGCATGTGCTGAAGCGGACACCTTTTTCTAGGCTGCAAGGAGGATAGCGAACGCACCAACGTCTCGTTATCGGGCTCCTTTCACCCTGCATGGGCTGATGCAGACGTTCTGGACTCTGCTTGGTTAAAAGGGCCAAGACAGAAAGTTTTTGGGGTCTACTCTGTTGAATTGCAAACTTCTAAGCACTGACGGTCTCGTTCTGCTTCAAACCCTTTCCACATGGCACATATGACAAGGCGCTGCACGTTTGTCTCAGCTAGATGGACTCTGAAGGGCTTACAGACAAGCGCTTCCCCTCGAGTCGAGAGTGTCCGCTTCAGCCGCCGCAGACTGAGATGAGCCGGGCAAAGCGACCTTGCTGCATTCGCCCTCCTCCTTGAAGCCGAGAAGAACGCACAACTCTCTGTGGAGGGCTGAACAGTTAAAAGGAGGCAAAGAGAAAAGGACTCCCACTCAGCGCACAAGAACCTGAAAACAAGGCACTACGAGGAAGTGTGCCAAGACAGAAAGTTTTTGGGGTCTACCCTGTTGGATTGCAAACTTCTAAGCATTGGCAGTCTCTTTCTGCTTCGAAACTTTTCCACATGGCACATATGAAAAGGCGCTGCACGTTCGTCTCAGCTAGACGGACTCTGAAGCGCTTACAGACAAGCGCTTCGCCGCAAGTCGAGAGTGTCCGCTTCAGGCGCCGCAGTGAGACGGAGCGACCTTGCTGCATTCCCCCTTTTCCTTAAAGCCGAGAAGAAGGCGCCATTCTCTCTGGAAGGCTGGACAGTCGAAAAGAAGCAAAGGGAAACTCACTCCTAGTCGAATGGCAGTGCCTTAAAGTTTGCAGCTGGAAGAGGAATGAAACTGAAGTCCCTCTTGACAAGCTTCTCTTTTTAGCTGTAGCGCACAAACAGGATCTCGCCTGTGAGACTGAGAGTTTTGCTGGTATGTAGAGGGAAGATGTTCAATGATTGGTGTGGTGCTTTGTGGTTTCAAGAGAGAGAGGATACCTAGCTGTGAATTTTCATTTTAAGACATTTGGCATGGGCTCATCTGCTGACCTCTCTAAGAGTATCAAGTCAGATCTGTGGGACGCAAAGATAAAAAAGGACTCTGCTTGTGCCTTGCAGAGTAGCTGGGACTGGTCCTGCGACAGGGCTGTGTTTAGCAGGGCTTTTCCCACAAGGAGGGGTTTGTTAGACTGGGGGCCCTACCACACCCCCTACTGCGGTCCCTGCACCTGCAGAGTTCCCGCTCTCATTTGCAGGCACTGTTAGCCCCCAGCACGGTCCACATTTGTCTGTGCCTTGGGAGCAAAATCCTCCTTGCAATGTCCTCGTTCCCCTTGGCCCCCACCCTACTCTGCATCCACACGGCTCCAAGAGCCCCAATATCTACAGGAAGATATGACAAGATAGATCCCAGTTGATGAACCTCCCAATGTCCTCGTGGTGGCAACTGGGTAGCCTTGGCCCAATGCTGAAGGACCTTGAGTGAGAGGGAGGGAATCACTGACCTTCAGTGGTTGTGCCTGCCTGGGAGCTGCTGCCGGGGAGGAGAAAGGCACAGGTTTAGAGCCTGGAGCTCCCCCAGGTTCTGCACACACTGAGACACCGTGGGAATCCTAGATCCACCATCTGTCATCTCTGGGGGAGTTGTCTCTTCCAAGAGAAACCATTTTAGTAGTCTCCAGTCTTCAGCAAATTTTGGAGTCAGTAAGAAAATGAAAATAAAGGGCAACCTCAAGCCCCTGTGCTCTGGTGGTGGTTGAAAGGGGACGATCCCTGTCTTCGGGAGGACTTTGCAGCTTGGGGTTGAGCTGAGCAGCTGGGATCTGAAATACTGCAGGCACCCGAACAGCAATTTTTTGTCCTCTTGCTCCATCCCTCACTTGAGAAGATGATGTTGATGCCATCAGTTGGTAGATTTCTTGAAATCTCCCTGTCCAATATTTGGGCCTGAAACTCTTGCTGCCTCCCACCAGTTAGTTCTCAATTGCAGGCAGGAGAGAGGGACGGTGCTTTCACGTTTCTGTTGCAGTTGTTTTGAACACTGTCTTCACCCTGACTCACATCCCAACTTTGTTCATCTCTTCTGCAGTAATTCACTTACAACTGGTCTCTGAACTGTGTCTGTGCCCCAGGGATGGGCACAGCATGCATCAAATCTGACCCTCCCAGTGCAACCACCAGAGTGTCGTCCTGCAGCCCTGGACTCTCCTGTCCTATCTGAGACACACTTGTGCAGCTCTCCAGTGGTTGGTGAGAACAAGGAAAGATTCCGTAAAGGGAGCTGTGTGGGACTGGAGGTGGGAGAGGAGAAGACCTTTATGCCCCTCATGTGAATCCCTTGGGAGGAAACTCTGCCCCTCCTAGATCTGAGGTATTTTCCAGTCCTGAAAACAATAACACTATCCTGGGCCATGCCTTTGTACTCTCCAGATGACTTTCCAGCTCCTGACACTCTATATGAGCCCCCATCATAACCCTCGTCCTGGAGAGATGGGGCCACTGAGCACCGGGAGAGCCCAGCCTGGAGACATCCCCAGGCCCATCAGTTCCTTCTGATGTTTTCCCTGCCCTGCACTCCCGGCTGTCCCCGTGTCTCTGTCCACTAATCCGAGTAGGACCAAGCCCACCCCGAGTTCCCCTTTGAGCTCAGCCCGCTTGGGGCAGTGCTCAAAGGCTGTGCTGCCATTGCCCTGTTCTGCTTTGCTCAGCCCCTGCTCTCTGCTCTCACATAGCCTTGCGGAACTTCACAGAATCACACCCAGTATTCCAAGTTAGAAGGGACCCACAAGGATCATCGAGTCCAACTCCTGAGCCTTCACTGAACCATCCCCCAGAGTCACACCACGTGCCCGGGAGTATCATCCAAACGCTTCTTGGACTTGCACCAAGCCAGCGGTGCTGAACCCCCACACAGGCACCTCCTGCTCCCAGACAGCAGCATCTCCAGCTTCTGGGGAAGGGAGAGGGGATGCAGCCATCACCTAAGTTATGCCAAACAGGGTATTCACGTCGAACCTTCATGTCTGCCTCACCCCTCCGGGAGGATTTGTGGGCATGTGCTGGGAATTCCTGGAGGCACTGCCATTGCTGGAGGAGCTGCGTTTCTGCTCTTCCTCCCCCTGTCCTGGTTTTACCTCTCCAGAAGGAAACATTTGCTTCGAGAGGCCTCAA